ATGGATGGATGGATGATGGATGGATGGTTGAACAAATGGGTTGATGGATGGATGGATGGATAGATGATGGATGGATGGTTGAACAAATGGATGGATGATGGATGGATGGTTGAACAAATGGGTTGATGGATGGATGGATGGATAGATGATGGATGGATGGTTGAACAAATGGGTGGGTGGATGGATGGATGGTAGAACAAATGGATGGATGGACAGTGTGGTCTCCATGTGATGAAGTCCAGTGTGAGTCCTGTACAGGACTGAAGAAGTTTGCCAGGTTCTGAGGTGTCTCATCAGTTGTCAGGACTTTAGACCCATGGCTGGTCTCCATCAGGTCTCAGATCATCTGACATGTTGATGGTTTCAGACCCTGAGGGATCTGGTCTCAGTGCTGGTCCATGTTTGCAGCCCTGTCCGATCCTGTTGCTGTGTACTTACTGTGTGTTCTGCTGCTTTTCAGGCTGTGGAGGAGCTGCTGGAGTCCTTGGAGTTGGAGAAGAGCAACTACCACATGGGGCTGAGCAGGGTGAGCGCGCTCATGCACGACCTGATGGAATTTTTACATCATGTTTCTAGATATACATTTCTTCTTAAACTAGACTCTGCTGCACAGAAAGAAGCAGAATTAGTTAGAAATTACGTTTTCTGGAAACCTCCAGCAGTTCACACAGTTCACATGTTCAAAGATGTTGGAGAGCAGCTTTTTATGAATCGACGTAAAAAATACATTTCATATCTAATTGTGTAATAAAAGTTTATATGTTTAAAGTTGTTTTGTAAAGTATAAAATATATAAACTGTAAGAACAACAGACAGAGTGTAGCAGTATCATGTCATGAACGTGTCAAACGTTCAGCTCAAGAATATTGTATATAATATTGTGAGAATATTGAGCTCACTGATGGTCGCTCAGTGAACAGGAACGTTCAGGCAGGAGCTCCAGCTCATGAATCTGAGAGCAGAACCAGAGCAGTCTGTTCAGGGGCCACCCAGTCCAGCCCCAACTACAGTTCTGCCCCCAGAAGGACCAGCTGGAGCTAGTCCACATGCGGTCCAGAGAGAGGTCTGGAAATGATTTAATTCACAAGCAGCTGCAGAAGAATGAGCACCAGAGGTGAGAAGAGGGATGTCCTGAGTGGAGGGATGGTTCTTTGAGTGGGACATGGGTCAACGTCAGGAGAAGTATTCTGGGACA